CTTTCCGCCTTTTTCCTCTGTTCTTCGTGATGTTTTCCCGCCTGAGCGGTGCGAGCGGGATTTGTGTCGCACGGGGTAAATCCGGGATCCGTGAAGCGAGGGATGGCGCTCCACGCTGCACTAAATCCATCAGACACGTCTGTCCCCAGTTAAGACTGGGCTACAAGTTTGGGTGCTGCTGGAATAAAGGGCAGACTCTGCAGGGAGGAGAAAACGGGGCAGTTAGTTTGAAATTGGGGATGGGGAGACATACAGGGACTGGGGACAGAAATTCTTAATGAAGCCTAACGAACCGAGCGGGCGCTGAGGTGTTCAGTGGGGGACGTGTGTGACCCCAGGAAGAGTCCCTGTGCCAGTGGAGAAGGAGGGTGGTGGGTGATGCCTTGTGATTTCGGGGGGTTGGTCTGAGAGGTTTGGTTTGAGGTCGTTCTCAGCCGCTGTGTCGCCGTCTCCACGTGCTCTCGTGTTTACATCGGGCAAAGCTGGCCTGAAGAACATGGTTTGTAACCCCTTGGCTGACTTCTGCCTTGATCAGAACCATTTCCAGATGGGGATAACAGAGGTGGGGGAGCTGAAAACTTTACGAAACAGCTGCATGGATTCTAGCCCAAGGCCTTTATGCTTTGCTACCAGGATTTTCTGGTCTGAGGTAGATTGAGCCAGGTTGAGAGAATCATTCTTACTCCAGTCTGAGCATGTGCACGGTGAAAGTGCCAGCAGAATACCTGCAGAGAAGAGACCTACCTTGCAAAAGGCCAGAAAGATGCAAGCAAGACGTTTGTTTGAGATACAGGAGGGCCACAATTCAAGGGAAGCTCCAAAAAGCTGGAGGATTAAGGAATCTCATGTGAGAATAGTGAGGTGGGGTGAAGCTGGAATCTTTGGGGCTGTGCTGTAGTTGGCAGTCACAGTGGGTGTGTAGTTGTTGTCCAGCTGTTGCAGAAGACTATTGGAGAGACTTAATTACTTGGGAAAACAATCTCTTTCTAAACTCGTGACAATGAAATACATGCCTTAGCAGAAAGGCAAGACACAGGGCCCTGCTGGGGGCTTGCTGTGCTGACGCCTGTGTGCACCCCTCTGCCAGTCGGTGGCTCGGCTGGACAGTGGGAAATGCCTCCTGAGAGCTTGGGACAGGCTCAGAGGGATGGCCCGGGGGGGAGCTGTGCTGCCCGGCTCCCTTCAGCCTCCTCAGCGTGCCTGAGGGGACCCAAACCTCTATCCAGACCTGTACTGGAAGGAAGGGTTACAAATCAGAGTTAAATGTGAGAAACTTCAGGAAATAAGGATATAAAACAGTGATACCATGCTGATGCAACTTTGTAATTGTGTTCCCTTAGCTTTCAAGGGTAAGGGCAAGCCCTGTACAAAATGGGCTGTTTGTTCTGCTTTTAAGGGGTAAGTTACCCATATTTTGAGCAAACAATTGCATTTTTTGTTACGTTTCTTAGCAAAATTGCCTGAAATGTTCAGACTTGTGGAGTTTTCTGTTAAGGCTGCATGTGTTCCTTTGTTTAGTCTGGTACCTGCAGCGTGGCACGATGTTGTTCTTCCAGTTGTGGTGAAACTTGTTTTACTGGAAGTGTTCCAAGTGATTTTTAAGAACTGCCAAACTTTGTGTTCTTCTGCTGGACTAAATGGCACTTTAGTTATCTTTGTGAAAGATTTCCATCAAATTAAGAGTTTCTAGAAGGCAGCCCAGTTTAGAAAGAGCCTGGTCTTTATGTCCCCTTGTGAAAAAAAGAAGCTTGAGAGTGTGAAAGTGAGGATAAAGATCAAGTTCATATATTAACAGGAGATAATTGGCTTGCTATTAAGTGATTAATTGATCTTAGGAACATCAGATATTACGTAAGCTGCTTTTTTAGTATCTGCATTTTAATTTTAATTCATTTTATAGCACAATCAAATTAAACTGTCTTACTGCAGTCTTTGTACAAACCTCACTTTTCTTTTTTTCCCCTGTGACTTAAATAATTTAGGCCTTTTATTTGGGAGATTCCAAATAATGAAACCATACCTATAATGTAAATATAGTGAAACCTTGCCTACAGTAGCAATGATTTGTCACAAATTTAGTAGTTCTAACCAGTAGGGGGAGAAAAATGAAGCATATATGGCATAGAATGAGTGCATGTTGCTTGTTTTGGAGAGAAGCACACTGGGCTTTTGCTGGGGACTGAAGCTGTAGGAGGAGTGGTGGCTCAAATGCCTGTTTCCAGTACTTCAGTTCCATATTTCCAGTGCTTTACCTCCTGATGTGGACACAGTTGAAGGTGGCAGAGTGGCAGCTGGCTTGTCTTATCTCCTTTTTCATCATTTGATCTAGCAGCATTTAATAACCAGACACCATTGGGACACACACTGATGTCCATCTAACATGAATCCACTTGAAATTAATGCAGCACTTCCAGAAATGTCTTTCTCCAACACCATTAGTAAATGCAATGTGTTTTTATTGCACAGAAGCTCTATGCACAAGCTGGAATGTATTGTTACAGATATTATTGCAAATTTTATGCATGGGGCAAGCAACTGAACCAACAACATCCTGGATAGAACCAAAAGATACAAAACAGAGCCAGATGTAATCACAGTGCTTAAATAATGATGAGTTTTAGAGAGGAACTTGCCACTGGTGGGTCTGGATCCTTAGTGAGCGTAGCCAGCCCCTGCCCTGCTTTGAGGAACAAGAATAATCCTTGAGGAAAGATTTAAACCAAAAATGCCAGTTGTGGATGTGCCATTGGACCTGTTGTAACTTTACTACAGCTTGCTTAAGTCTGGAGTAAGCACTAGAAAGGAGGTGCCCTTGTTGGCTGGGGTTTTTTGAGAGCACTGTTCTTTTTGATGCTTCAGTATTCTTGAAATAAATCATAGTAACATTTTTAGTCACACACTCTTAAAATAGTGGGGTTCAGTAGCTTCTAAACACTAATACACTTTATTTTTCCTGAATGGTTCAATGCTTGAGAGAAGCCACAGGCACACTAAAATTATTCTCTCTTATGTAGAAGACACTTTTCTGAGTTAAATACTTCCAGTGGTCTCATTCTCTGGAGTTTAGGTTTAAATTTTAACATCCTATTTTCTGCTCCTCTCTCTGCCTTTCTCAGATATTTTCATTCATTTATATTCTTGTTGGTTTTTGTAGGTGGCCAAGTAAAACAATAAGGACTTGTTTTGATAAACCTGGTATCCTCAAGCTATTAGAAATATAAACCAGGAAAATGTAAAGAGATAGGGACAACATGTACAGTAGAAACATGGGGGTTTTTGCAGTTACTGATGCAAAATACAGGCTCCTGCCCAACACTTACACGACCTCTGTGTTATGTAGAAGACACTTTTCTGAGTTAAATACTTCCAGTGGTCTCATTCTCTGGAGTTTAGGTTTAAATTTTAACATCCTATTTTCTGCTCCTCTCTCTGCCTTTCTCAGATATTTTCTGTTAGCATTCATTTATATTCTTGTTGGTTTTTGTAGGTGGCCAAGTAAAACAATAAGGACTTGTTTTGATAAACCTGGTATCCTCAAGCTATTAGAAATATAAACCAGGAAAATGTAAAGAAGAGAAAGGGACAACGTGTACAGTAGAAACATGGGGGTTTTTTGCAGTTACTGATGCAAAATACAGGATAGGGACAACATGTACAGTAGAAACATGGGGGTTTTTGCAGTTACTGATGCAAAATACAGGCTCCTGCCCAACACTTACACGACCTCTGTGTGAGAAAATGTGACAGCACGTGGTGTTTGAAATGGGACCTTCTCTGTATGAACATACAAAAATATGCTTTGTTAAAAGTTAACAAAAAGAACTTCAATTTTTGAGAAGCAAGACAAGTCCTTGCTGGGACGGATGCTGCATTTGCTCCTTTCTTCCATACTAGCCAAAGCTGGTGGCTTTCAACCCTCTTTGGATGGCCACACAACATAGGTAAAACTACTTAAAGAAGGTTCCCTTCTTAATTACCTTTTGTCTGTAAATCCCTGAAACAGTGCTTGATAATTACTGACCTAAAACCTACCCTCAGAGCTTGGTGAGTTTTTTTTAAGAGGCAGGGTTCCAACAGCCTCTCAGGGCAAGTAACAAGGATGAGAATTTCTGAACATTCTTGCTGTGTTGTGAATTCAGGTCATGCTGTTGGTTAATTTTAACATTTTTTTGCTTCATTCTTTATTATAATCTTAAGAAGAAATGAGGCACTGATAGGTTATAGCTTGTTTGTGTCCAGGAACCCTGTGCTTTGGTTTTCAGGGGCTTGACTTTATGAGCCAAAGAGAAGAATTGTTTCCTTGACAATTAAATGGGTTATGCTCTGCATTTAAGGACAAACTAATATATTTATAGGGTAAATCTTCAAACCAGAAGCAGCTGAAGTAGTTCTCCTGAGATTTTCCTAAAGGTGTAGCCTTTAGCTGAAAAGCCACTCTAACAAATTGAAGCCTAACACACTTCCCCTGCCCCCCCCCTTCTGTAGACTCCTGAAAGAACAATTCTCTAACTGTATGTTTTAACAACCAACTACTCTTTTAAAAGCAACATTAAAATAAATAAGAGAGTGTAGTGCAGAGAAACTTGCCCCCAAGTCATAAACCCATTGTGCAATGAAACCATTCCTCCAAAAGTGAAGCAGGATCACGAAAACTAAGTTATTTTATAGACAATTTAGGTTTGGATGCTTTTCCAAGAGTTCCTTGACTAGTTTCTCTAGGGAGAAGAGATGCTCATCTGCCTCTTCTGGAACAAGATTCCTGATAGAGTTGGCAAGCTCAAACAGGTATTCTGTGTTTCTTCCACTGGGACCAACAGCATGGAAAATCTGTTCAGCAATCTCTTCTAGAGGCGCTGGGCCGAGGTAGTTGGGGTTGTCCCCAGTTCCAATGTACAGCAACACATCAAAGGGTTTCACTGACAGGTCTTTTGGGTAGAAAATGACAGTGGTAGTCCTGTAGCCTCCCTTCTCTCTGAAGTCCAGGTATGCCTTGACTTCACACTCCTGTCCTGCTGGCAGTCTGTAGGCAACGCCCCACACGCAGCCCTGTTGAAGGACAGAAGATCCAAGCAGTGTTCATAAAGACACTCCCACAAACAAATGCACCTCTATTGTCTTGAGGCAAAGCTCCCTTTAAAAAATATCTTCAATTTTCAGTCTTTTTATATATATATATACACACACTATTTGTAGAAGGAAGCCTAAATGAAAAGGGTTGTTTTATTTAGGAGATCTTCAGTCAAAATGGTCATCAGGCAGACTGACCACACACTGTCCTGCTTCCTACAAAGGCCTTTCTTACAAAACAGTTTCTTGTTGCAGTCTAGTTTGAAGCAGTAAATAGCCTTGGCATGAGCTGCTAGGGAGCTGGCAAAGAGCACACAGAGGATCCTCCTGACCTCACAAAATTCCTACCTGAAAATTAAAATCTTAAACAGTGACAAATTCAAAGTAATTTCCATCAGGTCCTTTCTGTGCAGTTGCAGTTTCATTTCTGAGGGCCTAAGTGTCACCTACATCTGCTACAAGGACTTGGAGGGATGAGTGTGGCAATGTTACTGCACTGAACCTGAACAGGGGAAGAAAAAGCTCAGATGAACCTTCATTTTGCACAATTCAGTGTGACAGTGAGGAAAAGTTTCATTACCATCTTTGAGAATCTGAATATTTCTTCATTCTCTTCACAGATAACCTCTCAGAGGAAGTACTTAACTGTGGTGTGAATTAGTTACACTCTCCTGCCAACTTTTATAGAAACAAATCTGTGTAGGGATAGATTTTCATGGGGTTTTTGTTTTGAAGTAGCATAGAAAAATGATGCTCTGTTGTCCACTAAAGGCTACAAACTGTTCCTTATGAGTGCTGTCTGAAGATAAATGATAAATGTCTCTTTTTGATAGCTGGCAACATCAAATGTGGATTCTTCCTGTGGCTGACTTAATATAGGCTATACATATCAGTGCTACAGTAATGATGGCAAAGCAATTAGTGCTTTGTTTTCCCCTAAAACTGGATCTTGTATTTAGTCCCAGGCCATGGTGCTGTGAATTCACCAGCATTGAATTTGGCAGTCAGACCATATGCTGGTCAAAGACATTTTATTTAAAAATAAATAGATGAGGAGTCATTTTCCATTGCACCCTTCCTAGGGGGTCACAGCCTTTGTGCTGTGGGCAGGAACAGCACAGATGAGTACAGAATTGGGTTCCTTGCCCTCAGCCATCTGGGATGTGGGTGGGCTCTGGCTTGGTTTAAACCCAGTCTCCTCTGCACGTTACTCTGGAGTTAAACCTGCCTGTCAGACTGGCAGTGGGGTGGACAGGAAAACATCTATGGCCAGTGTGATGGACAGGGATTGAAAGCAGATTCTGTAAGTGTTTCTGCTACTTAATTCCTCCTCAATATAGAGGATTCCTGGTTTGGCTGATGGAAAATTATCATCCAGAAATCTGACGAGGAATATGATGTTCTTTTTCTGTGTGGTTTCCTCTTAAATGGCAAAGAAATTTGAGTGGAGCAAGTAAAACTGACTCTATAAACTACCTGTTTCCAAGCTGCACTATGTATAGGACTAGTGACAAAGGACACACTGGCTGGCACGTTTAAATTGTGGAATGAATAACTGAAATTAAAGCAAATTACTTGTGATGTCATTTGATGTATATGTGTATAGGGTGATTATCTGGCCACATCAGATTCTGTAGGAAAAGGGGAAAAAAAAACCCCAACCAAACAAAACCAGTTTGCTAATGGGAAAAGAGTTTCTGTGGTAACAAATAAGTTTGCTTAGCAATACAAAGGAGGGACAACATAAGCACTCTCTGTCTATATAGGCAGCTGGGTGACATAATGGTACCCAGCAGTACAGCAACATGAAAAACCCTTTACTAGAAAGGTGGAGAAAATCACAGTGAGAGTGCAGTGTGTTTTGCTGGGCTTGCTAACTGCAAAACCTGTGAAGTTTTTGGTTACTGGTAACCTTACCTCTCTTTGAGGCTGCCATTTCAGGGAAATAGGTGGCTAAGACAGCAAGATTGGAGCTGTATAGATAATTAACTGGCAATAAAACCTGCTACTGAACCACTCATCCTTTGTGTCTTAGAGCCTGGTGCCCTGTGGCCTCACTCTCCCTCTGCTTCCAGCCTCCCATCCATCCTTCCATCCCTGGAGGCACTGGCCCTGCAGGGATCCCCTCTCTGGGCAGGTGGGAAGGAGGACCCACCCGAGGTGGTCCTGTGATAGCCACCTTGCCCAGCCTCACTCAGAGCTTCTGTCCCAGCTGGTGAACATCCCAACCAAGGGCTCTCTGGTGGGGAAGATCCCTAAAAAAACCCGTGGGTAGTTGTAAGCTAGCCTCTTTGCTGTCACACAGAACTGGAGATGGGTAAAGTGTAAGTCTAAGTGCTTTTATAAGCAGGAAGATGTTGGACTGTGAGCCTAGCCCCTGTTTCATGTCCCCTCCCTCCCCAGGCTGGGCACTCCCCTTGCAAACACTTCTAACAAACACTGTCCAGCTGAGCCCTGGGGAGAAGGGCAGAAGATAAGCAAGAAAGGCAGACCTGGGACAATGAACATCTTCTCTGGACAGGAACTAATTTCACAATATTATGCAGAAACCAAAAGCACACTTGTGGCATTTAATTCCTTAAGCATCTTTTTCTATGTAGCAAAAAATGAAGCAAGGGTATCTCATTTTTTTGTCATGGCAATCTTGATTTCAGTTCTTATTTTGGGAGGGCTAGATTATACTCTGACTTGACATCTGGGGTCTACTGTTGGCATATCTCCAGCAATATATGTATGTTGGGAGTAAAATTCTGCATCTTACAACTGGATAGCTGAAGTGACTGCTCTGGAAAACACTTTATACCTTTGGTAATAACAGAGCCAAACTACTCCCAGTTTCTTAGTTTAGATTGATTGATTGATTTGAAACAATCAGTCATTGGTGTTACTCCAAGAAATTTTGAAAACTTTCCACTGGGCTAAAGATATCTCATTTATTTCCTTGTAGAGAAGCAAAAATTATAATAGAGAACTTACTACAAAGGCTGGGAATGCAACAGGACATTCTGTACACTACAGAGACAGAAGAGGAGTGAGTACCATACCTCAGGGTCTTCAACCAGAGTCACAACTCTTCCAGGCTAAAATAGATTTAAAAAGGTTCATTTAGAGGCTTTTACCCTAAATCATAAGCAAAATGAAAGCAAAAAAAACCCCCCAACCCAGTGCAAAAATGAGCTCTGCTAATCTTCCAGGCTGTGTATAAACCCCAAGCTGCCCCATTTTGTCTTTTCCACCACTCCTCACCCAGCATCACCCCTTTGCTCCTGAGCCCATTGGTTCAATAAGGCACCCAAATTAAATGAGTGCTAATTGATGATGAGTACTTCAAAACAGACCTGCTACCATCATTACCAGGGTACCTCTGGTGTTCCCTTTGGGAAGAGATGACATAAGAAATGCATCTGCTCATCCAGCCTAATTAAACCCAGTCTCAATCAGTGAATTAACCAGGGCTGTTTTGCTGGCATCCAGCTTATCACCTCAGAGGCTGGGAACCAGCACGTTCTGCTAGGAGTAGCACTGAAGGTTCACCCCAAGTTAGGCTAAGGAGATCTTTGTTGATCTACAGAGCCTAACAAATACACTTTGGACAAGAATAAAGCACTCAGGCAGATGGAAAGGAGACCTTTTTAGCAGGCAGGAAACAGGAATATTTTTGGTGTAGCAGGCTGGGAATACCCAGTGCCAGAACTGCCAGGCTGAGCCAGAGGCCAGTGGCCAGTCAGTTAAACATGCAGTCTTTTTTTAAGCTCTTCATAGGCACTTGGCACTGTCAAAGAAACACATCCCCAGAGGCACCTATGTAAGGAGCTCTTGGTGTGTACATATGTGTTGGGGGGACATACACACAAATATCCATCCCACAATACACCTCCTTACCTCAGGCAGCATTAAACTTCTGCTTGGGTCTTTCTGACTCACTTCCCAGTACATTTCTCTTCTACTGGTTTGTTCAGATAGTTTTAGTCCTTTTATGCAATCTCTGCAAAATCTCACTGGAGTGAGTTCCAGAATTGAAATAGATCATTATTCTTCTTCTGTTTTTTTTTTTTCCTGGGCCTTGCTTTGTGGTAATTTTTCATATTCCTAGTCCTGCTATTTCTTGTTTGCTCCTTTGGAACCAAAATACTAAATGGAAGTGAAGTACTGAAGAATACTTAATCTTCAGATTGGTTCTGTGATGAAAGAATGATCTGTTTGTCTAAGGGAAGGACAGGATATTTATTGTATTGCTTGGCAGAGTCCTTGCCTTGCGTGGAACTACCTTAAACAAACACAGTGAAGTAACCATGGCTTGGCTACCTCTGCTAGCCAAGGAAAATCCTTGCCTTGTGTGGAACTACCTTAAACACTGTGAAGTAACCACAGCTTGGCTACCTCTGCTAGCCAAGGAAAGAAAAGAGCACATCTGTAAGTGACTACCTATATAACATACACCAAAACCACTTCTGTTGTGCTCAGGGCATGCTTGAATCACCTCCTAAATCAGATGTCTTGGAGGGAGCTGTGTCAGTCCTGAGCAGCCAGGAGGGCTGACAGAGGCCACCTTGCGCCGTGTCAGGAGGGTAACCACGGTGGAAAATGAAACCCACACTGTTCCATCAGTCAGCACTGTTTCACCTTCAGCCCTCAGCTGTGCTGTACACTACAGCTCCCAAATGTACTCCTGTCCTAGAGTGTGCATGATGGGAGATTCTTCTAGGTTTCACCATCCTGAGTTCAGCATAAAGTGGAAAACAGCCTCAGCGTGGTGTGGAGCTGGCAGCAGTCTGGGACATTCCCCTGGGGTTGTCTACCTGTGTGGGGATAGTTCCTCAGGACAGTCCTGAGGTGTGCTCAGGTGTGCTATGAAACCATGGCATAGACTGACATGAGGTCTGCCACTGTTAGACTGTTTTCAGTGCTACCATGAGCTGCTCAGCTACTAAAATGACTAAATATTTACTGATAGAGGAGTCAGTTTTTTCATCTGGATATGAAAGTAAGATGGAATAAAAGGAAATATGACCTAAGAAATAACTTTAGATCGATCACCTCTTAATCTTTTTCAGAAAGGGAGGTGTAAGTTTGCTAATGAGTAGGAATGTAGTAATTTTAAATGGTTTCCTTAAAAGCACAAGTTTACTTCAAGCGTGGCTTCTCTACTTCCTTCTCCTGCAGCTCAGGATTGGTGTCTCCAAAGCTGGGAGGGAGGAGGGCTGTAAGGAGAGGAAGCCAAACTTCCCTGCTCTGGTAGCAGCAAGCTGTTAGGGTGGTTCAGGCCATGCTGTGACAGGAATGGCTTCAGCCCTTGAACATGTTCTGTGCTGTTCCATGCAACACCAAACCCCTCAGCCTCAACACCTGAGGAGGTTTCTGGGAGTCGTGCAGGTTTGTGTTCTGAAGCTTGCACTAAGAAATTTAAATTTGCCATTTATGAAAACACTTTTGTTGCTTATTCAGGTCTTTCCTAACCAGGTACCACTATTTTTTTTCAGAGAACACTTATTGCCTGGTAAAATACAAGCTGCTTTCATGTGCTATTCAGAACAATCCTCTAAAAATCTCATAAGCTCTGTATAAATTGCTGCATATTTTTCACAAAACATTTGTTCCTTTCTTTGCATTCTTAATGTAACAAGACTTTTTTCCCATTTAACAACCTGTGAACTACCAAATTTGGCCCCACGAGTGAACTTCCTAAACTTTCTCTCTTTATAACTAGCTAACCATCCTATTGCAGCACGAGTTGAACAGTTCAAAGTACAACTACGAACCCAACCAAGTTTCCTACTAAAAACTGGCAGCCACTGAAGAAGCAGTTTCACTTGCAGCTTACCTACAAGAGATTTAACTCATCTCTGCTGCCAAGGACTGTAAAGATTTCATAGCAGGGAGCATTTGGCTGGGTGAAACGGGAGGTCCCCACCATGCTTGGCATACCCTGAAGGGGCCTTTTTGCCTTGCAAGTAGGAGTAACAACTCACAGACTGCAGGAACACAAAAAGGCATTAGAAAGTGTATTTTTTTTAAGATTAAACATTTTATATAAAACATAAAATGCATTTACTAACTTGCATAAATAAGGACGTGTGCCCACAGTGTGCCCAAACGAGCCTCTAAATGGAAGGAAAACAAGGCATGGGCGTGTCTGGGTTTTTTTCTGTCATTCTAGGGGTTCTGTTACTTTTAAGTACTTTTCAAGTTATTTTGTGGTGTTTCAGGCTCTAACTAGTGCTGTTTAGAGCGAGGTGGCAATTTCTTCCATGCTACCTGTAGCCTGCTCTGGTTTATTTCTAAAAAGAACCTGTACACCTTTCCTGGAGGAGCTCTGGGAAAGCTGTACTGGGTTTTAGAGAGGAGTTATTCCATGGTGCAGCGTGGACAGCTGCTTTAGAGAGTGAGGAAAACAAGCCTTCAGGACAAAACCTGCCTTCCAAGTAGGTGAATTATTAGAGTGCTGTACCCAAGTTATCAGTTTCTGTACATCCGTGGTCCGTTTGCATTTCTGACGACTGCATTTTGCATTCTGATGAGTAAGTTGTGAGCAGCATCTCCAGCTGTAAGTAACACTCCTGCCACATCAAAGCCAGTCACCTAACTTGCTGAGTGCTTCTGTAACCTGGTGTGCCTTTAAGATTTGTTGAGCTATTTAGAGGCACACAAGGGTGACAGCCCTTCTGTGGGCAGGGTGGTACAGGCTGTCACAGCAGAGTAAAGCTCAGGTAGTCCCCCTCTGGCAGCTTATAAATCACACAGTCATAGAACACCAGGTTGGAGGGGACCTTAAGGATCATCTGCTCCAACCTTTCTTAGTAAAAGCCAAAAAAAAAACCCTTATGTTTGTGTCAAATTGGAAGGCTCACTTCTGGATTTTTAGTTGACTTTTCTTGGTAGTTGTTTGAGGTGTTTCTCCCAAACAGGAAATAATTTCTTCCTCCATGAGTTTTCATTTGAAAGTAAAACCACTGACAACCAGTGCAATAGTTAGTTCTGTGCTTCTGGCCTTGACTTATTCACCAGGTTTTTTTTCCTTAAAAGCTTGGCAGTTGCACGGAGGTATTCTCCCTTAGTCATTTAGATTAATGTCTATCATAATAATATGTTTATATACACCAATGTCTATAATAACTCTGTATACAAATGCCTACAACCGAGTTATTTTTGAGCCACTCAAACAGGCTGGCGGTTATTTTTGTCACCATTCTTGAAGTTGGTTATGCTTGCTGGGGTTTCTTTTTGGTAGCAGAGAGGTGTTAATTGTTAACACAGAAGAGAGTGAGTTCTGGGACTGCAGGAAACGCTCCTTGGCACACTGCAGCGAAGCAGAAGTCAGGGCGGCGCTCCTTAATCCGGAGGAGGCTGCGGAAGGGGCCGCGGAACGCGCAGCCGCCCTTCGAGAGGACTTCGAGACGTACCGGGAGGGGAGG